ATACAATCAGCAACACCATATGATCAAGCACAACTTGGAAATGGACCACCTGTTTTATTCACTAGTCTATCACCCTTAAACCATGTGGATTAAATTGAAATCAACAAGCAATCCAAAACATGTCTGCAGTGAACAAACTTTTCAATATAGTGTATTTACCATTCAGGATGGGGGCTCAGACAGATTTAAGACACAAGACCCCTGATCTCAGTTAGCTGATGGCAGCACCCCATGATGCAGACTGACCTCAGGCTGCAAGGCCCAGACTGAGTTCCCCAACTTCCTAAAAGGTTGAAATCCACACAGTTCTACTGCAGGTACCCCACACCATTTCTTTAAAGATTTTCAAAGTTGGGAACTCAGAAAAATAACATTTATGACCACCTCTGCCTCTGCAGAGTTTGTCCAAAGACTGGCTCAATCAGGAGGTCTGAGAATGTAGGCAGGGTTGTGTTCAGGGGCGCCTGTGTAGCTACCTTCCTTGCAGTGGAGCCATGACAGCAGCCCAGCAGGGGAGGGCGGGACTAACCAGGGTGTCGGCCCAAGCAGGCACTCCTGGTGCTGGAGCGATGGCAGCAGCCCAACAAGGGAGCCTGTAGCTCTCTGTTTTAGTTGCATCTTTCCCTGGTTTGGAAATCAAATTGATAGTTGCTTCCAGGAATGATTTTGGAAGTACTTTTTCACTTTCAGTTTCATTGAAACATTTAAAGAATAGTGGCAGTAGTTCTCTATATGTCTTGTAAAATTCAGCAGTGAATCCATCAGGCCCTGGGCTTTTCTTTGTTGGTACGTTTTTAATTACATTTTCAATTTCACTGATTGTAATTGGGGTATTTAAAATGTTTTTATCTTCATTCAACATTAGTAATTCATAAGTATGTAGAAATCTGTCCATTTCTTCTGCATTTTCCATTTTATTAGAGAACAGGTTCTCAAAGTAGCTATTGACTATCCTCTGGATTTCTGTTGGATCTGTTGTGACTTCACCTTTTTCATTCCTAATTACATGGACCCGAGCCTTTTCTTTACTTTTTGTGATAAGTTTAGCTAAGGCTTTATTGATTTTATTTATTCTTTCAAAAAATGAATTCTTTGATTCATTTATTTTTGTATCATTTTCTTAGTTTCCATTGCATTGATTTCTGCTCTAAGCTTTATAATTTCCTGTCTTGTAAGAGCTTTGGGTTTTTGTTGTTCTTGTTTCTCTAGGAGTCAAACATTCATTATTAGGCTGTTCATTTGAGTTCATCCTGTTTTCCTAGTCTATGTATTCAATGCTCTGAATTTTCCACGTAGAACTGCTTTCACTGTGTTCCATAGATTGCCATTATCATTTATTTATAAAAATTGTCTAATTTCTTTTTTAATTTTCTCTGTGACCCATTGATTTTCATGTGTTTGCTGAAGTTCCTACAGTTTCTTATGCTATTGATCTCCAGCTTGATTGCACTATGATCTGATAATATACAGGGGATAACTTCTCCTCCTTTGCATTTATTCAAACCTGTTCTATGAGTTCATATGTGGTCTATATTGGAGAATGACCTATATGCAGTTGAAAAGAATGTATATTCTGCTTTTGTGGAGTGGAGCATGCTATAGATGTCTATTATGTCCATATGTTCAAAAGCTTGGTTCTGTTCTAGTATTTCATTGCTGATTTTTTGCTTAGATGATCTGTCTATTTGTGATATTGGGGCATGTAGATCCCCTGCTACAATTGTGTTAGTGCTTATTTGGTTTTTCATGTTACTTAATAATTGTTTTATATAGTTGGGGCATTAATATTTGGTGTGTATATGTTTATGATTGTCATCTGTTCCTCTTGAATTGTCCCCTTTACTAGGGTGTAGTGGCCTTCTTTGTGTACTTAATGAGTTTTGGTTTGAAATTTACTTTGTCTGAGAATAAGATTGCTAGCCCTGAGTTTTTGCTTGGCTCCTTTCATGTGGACAATTGTTTCCATACTTTCACTTTCAGATTGTGGGCTTCTTTTGGCACTAGGTGTGTTTCTTCTATACCACATATTGTTGGACTTTGCTTCTTAATCCATTCTGCCAGTCTATTTCTCTTGATCGATGAATTGAGGCCATTGACATTGATGGTTATAACTGATATGTACTGACTTGTTATTATCATGTTATTGTCCTTTTGTTGGCTCTTTTTACTTATTTCCTCTCTGCTTTTTGTTTCTTGCCTTTCTTATTTGAGTTGGTCTGTTTGTCCTCATGCTGTTGTGAGCTTCATTGTCTTTTTGTAGGATAACTGTTTAGAATTACTTGTAGTGCTGGTTTGGTATTCATGTAGTTTCTCAATTGTTCCTTGTCATGGGGGTATCTTATTTCCCCATCCATTTTGAAAGAGAGCTTTTCAGTTTATGTCAGTCTAGGTTGGAGGTTGTTTTCATTTTAGGACTTGAAATACCTCACTACAGGCTCTCCTTGTCTTGAGGCTTTGTGTTGAAAAGTCTGCTGTGATTCTGATGGGCTTTCCTTTGCATGTGATTTGTTTCTTTTCTCTTACTGCTTGTAGTATTTTGTGTTTCTGTTGGGTTTCTGGGATCTTGATTATTATATGTCTAAGTGTAGGTTTGTTTTTGATCATGGCTAGTTGGAGTTCTGTATGCCTCGCTTATTGTTATGTCAAATTCTTCCCCTCTGTTTGGGAAGTTTTCTGCCATTAATTCTGTGAACAGTTTTGTTTTTTTTAAAGTCATTTGTATTTTCTCATGCTATGTGATGGATTCTCATGCTATGTGATGGATTCTTATGTTATTCTTCCTTGCATCATCTTGGAATTGTTGGATCAATTTCTCATGATCCCTTACTGATTTAAAGAGACCTCTCTTTTCATAGTCTCTGAGTGCAATCCTATCTTCTACAGCTGAGATTCTATCTTCACCTTCTTTTATTCTGATGTGAACACTTTCAATAGTTTTATTTTCTTTTTATTGAGCTTATTGGTACATTCTATGTATACAGTACACTTACATTCATTAGTGGGATCTTGTACCTTTACAATACAGGTCTTGGTTCTCATCTTTACCCCTTGTCCTTGCCCTCCCTTCACCCCCTCCTCCCCTCCCCATTTACAAACAATTTATTTCCATTTTTCCATTTTCTCATATTTTTTTCCAATAGAGTTTTTAATCTCCTGGATATCTCTTTCAATCTGTATGATGGATTCCAATTCTTTCCTATGTTGGGCATTCATTGTTTCCATTTCTTTCTTATGCTGGGCCTTCTTGGCTTCTAAGATGGTCATGAGCTCATCTACTTTTTTTATCAGTTTCTGTTCTAGAGTCTGAAATCATGCCTTCCATTTTGCTCACCATCTCTATGGTTATCTGGGAAATTATTTCTGCTTTGAATTTTTCTAGAGCCTGATTGATCTGATTTGTTGCTTCCTGTGCTATGAGTTCAGAGTGTCCTGCTGGTTCACTATCAGACTTTTCATTCTCATTTGCCCTACTGTTTTCTATCAATGAACTGGAAGTCTCTCTTTGTGTCTTGCTTATGTGATTTCTTATTTTTTCTGTTACTGTTGTATTTTCTTTGGTTTAATTTCTGGGTTATTACTTAAAATCTTCCTGATATATTTGTGCTTTAGCTTTTGTGTCTCTAATGACTCATAGACATTCTCGTTTTCTTAATATAAGATAAGACAACTTATTCAATCAATCACAAACCTTTAGCCCAATTGATACAGTCAGCAACACAATAGGGTCAAGCACAAATTACAAATTGACCATTTGTGGCAGTCATAAATCTATCACCCTTTAACCATGTGAATTAAATTAAAATCAAGAAGCAACCCAAAATATATTTGCAGTGAATATACTCTTCAATACAGAATCTTTACCATTTAGGATGGGGACTTAGACAGAGTTAGGATGAGAGGAGTAGATAAGAAAAGAATTTGAGAAGATGTCAGTCAAAGCCAGAAGACAAAGGTCGACCTTTCAATCTTTGTGAAACTGTTAAATTCAAAAGGGAAATACAGAGTAAAATGAGGACAAGACTATAATGACTTAACAGTAATAGGGGCTCACTTTCCTTTGAGACTATTGGTCCTTCAGTGAGGTGAAATGATGGAAGAAAAGTACACAAAGAAAAAAGAAAAAATGGTAAAAGAAGAAATCTGAGTTATGGCAGGACAAAGTCCAGAAAGGGAGATGAGAGATAATATGGTTGAGGAAGAGACTGATTTGAAGAAAGAGGACAGAAAAAAGAAAGTATTTGTAGCATGGAATGAGGAAAAGAAAGGGAAAAAAAATGAATTTGAAGGGCCTCTTTCAGACTATATCTCTGCTGTCATAATATGCAAACATACAAAGCCATGTGCAGAACTAAGTACTTTGATCCCAGCTAGCTGAGATTCAGACTGATTTTGGGCTACAATGCCCAAATTGAGTTCCCTGACCTCCTGCAGGGTTGAATTCCACACAGTTCTAGTATTGGTTCCCTCTGTCTTTCGTTTAAAGATATTCAAAGTTGGGAGCTCGGAAAAATACCCTTTATGACCACCTATGCCTCTGCAGAGTAGATCCAAGGACTGGCACAATCAGAACGTCTGAGAGCAAGGAGGAGGGGTAGGAATTGGGTGTTTCAAGGGTGCCTGCATGGCTCTGTTTCTTGCTGGAGATGATGGTAGTGCAGGCAGGGGAGGGTGCTGCTGCCCATTCCTGCCAGCTCGGCCCAAGCAGGCTTCCTTGCTGAGCTGATAGCACAGGCAGGGTAGGGTGCAGGTACACAGGGCTGCCAACTGGGCCCAAGCAGGCTTCTTTGCTGGCACTGATGGTGGCACAGGCAGGGGAGTGCAAGGCTACCCAGCCACACTGAATGGAACAATTTAATGTGAATTCTACTTACCATAGCTTTTCCATACTTATGTCCAGCCTTTCATAATATTTATCACTTACTAAGTACGATGTAGTCAAGTTTTCTATTCTGTTGGTTTTTTGTGCTTATTTGTGGTTTCCACTACAGATTATATAATGATTATTGCTTGTGTGATGATAATAGTGTTTTGGTGAAGTCCTTAAGGGCCTGTTTCACTTGCTGGTTCCTGAGGGTGTAAATAAAGGGATTCAGCATGGGGGCAACAGAGGTATTAAGGACTGCTACACCTTTGCTTAGAGCTACACCATCTTTTGCAGATGTTTTCACATACATAAAAATGCAACTTCCATAAGAAATGGAAACTACAATCATATGGGAGGAGCAGGTAGAAAAAGCCTTTTTCCTTTGCTGTGCTGAGGGGAACTTCAGAACAGTTCTAAGGATGAGTGTGTAGGATAGAATCACCAAGGTCAAAGTTGCCATGAGTGTGAATACTGCCAAGAGAAATGCCATTAGTTCCAGAAACTTTGTGTCAGTGCAGGCAATCATCAGCATAGGAGAAGCATCACAGGTGAAGTGGTCAATAATATTGGAGTCGCAGAAATCCAGCTGAAGGCCCATAACCATTGGGGGAAAAATTATGAGAAAACCAGCAAGCCAGGTGCTGAGTAAAAGACAGTTGCATACTTTGTTATTCATGATAGTCATGTAATGTAGAGGTTTGCAGATAGCCACATAACGATCATAGGACATGACAGCCAAAAGAAAAAACTCTGTTGCTCCCAAAAATATTAGAAAAAATACTTGTGTCATGCAAGCATTATAGGATATGGTTGAGTCCCCTGTTGCAATGCTGATCAGAAATCTAGGAATGCAGACTGTTGTAAATGAAATCTCTAAAAAAGAAAAATTCCTGAGGAAGAAGTACATGGGTGTTTTCAAATGAATAGTTGACAGTGTTAAGGTTATAATGGTCATGTTTCCACTCACACTCAGTAAGTATGTGATGAACATAAAGAAGAATATCACAATTTGTAGTTCTGGGTCATCTGTAAGTCCCAGAAGAATAAATTCACTAACTGATGTCTTATTTGGCATAGCTAGGCTCTGAATTCTGGCACTCTGTGGGTAGAAAGAAGAGACAATGTCACCCTGTGATATGATTTCAAATATACTCTTAGTGCTGTCATATTCTGCACAGAGAACTTTATTCGATGCTTTTAAGGAGGTGACAAACTATTTCCCCACCTGAATTGAAAGCATTCATTTAAATTTATTAGAGAGGGAAAGGATTAATGTGTTTGATTACTTCTAAAAAATTACTTTATTCTCACTTTTGTTAACTGTCATACATTTTTGAATACTCATTTAAAACAAAAATTGATTTTTAACACAGTTATAGGCACCTACGATGAATGGTTAGTTTTCTTATTTTTAAAATATTAAACACATTACCAGATACATAATTGAAAAATTTTATTACAAGAAATAAAAATTTAAATTTTTCTTTGGAAAACTGATTTCTGAGTCATAATTTAACCTTCTTGCTAAGTAATTCTTGATTCATGTTCATTTCAACAGAAAAAATGATAGTAGCATATGTGAGAAATTGAGTGAAGTCCATTATACAAAACTCATCCTTTTAGTACTTCTGGTGATGTTCACACAAATACATCAATCTCTTTAGTGACAAAGGTCATACTAAAAATTTCCAATGTTTTTCTCCAATAGTCAATCATTTAAAAAGCAAAAGAATACCTTAATTCAATTAGGAATAAATATATTATTTCAGAAAGGTGTTGAAAATTATCAAACTCTACTTTATAAAAAGAATGACCTGATGGTATTCATCATTATTCAAATACGTGATAAAAAATACATTATAATGAAGGCAGTAACAATAATGTAGCATAATGATGTAATGCATTTTTTTCTTAATCTTCATCCTTCTCCTCTTGCTTAATATAGAAAAGATCTACATAATGTTTTACATGTGGTCGCCATTATTTCCAGTATGTTTTGTTAAGAAAATCTTTTGCATGCTAACAAAATTGAAATACAGAGAGGGGTGAAGTCAATTTCTTATTGTACATAAATATTATATGAGGTTATTATAGCACCCATATTTAGATTCTACAGCACCCTTTCTAGTGTTCATCATATGTAAAATTTCAATTTTACTTTATAGATCAGACAAATAGTTAACATTTGAAAAAATATTGATTTGTACTGACCTCAAAATTCAAGAGTTTGTTTTAGCTCTTCGAGCCCAGCTCTGTACTCATGCATCAACTATTTTGCATTAGTCCTTCCTGACTGACGGAGACACCAGCAGCAGTGCATGGCAACAACATGGACATTTTAAGTAATAAGAATAGTAGATTCCCAATAAAGCAGACACTCAATCTTGAAGATATTTTCCTGAGTTGTTGAGCATGATGTACTGCTACCAGTGGTAGGAGCAGAGAAACCAGTGCGGTGATTTTGATTGAGCTATAAGCATAGTCTGATTGTCTCTAAAAGAAACAGACACAATAGGCATTTTTAAAAATATTGCTTTAGACTAATTTGTTTTTAAGGGAAATATAATAATCACATGCCTTTAGGCAGTCTAGATGCAAGGCCTTAGGAAGGGTGTAGATGACACTGAAGTGGGGTAATTCATCATGTGTCTGCTTTTTCTTCATGAAGTCACACTACTGAGGCTTAGTTATGAAAATGCTGCCTAATTCCTTCCTGACAGGAGTTACAGATCTTTGAAGTTGGCTGTGACCATTGTAGGAAGATCTAGGTAGAGAAAATAATAGGATAATTGACAAAATCCTTTCATGGTACATTTCAAAATGTGTTAGTAGTTCTCCTATTTAGAATGTTAAGCAACAAAGTACATATAGAATAAATGTACTTAGTTTTATATTGGCCAGCTTGTGGTTTAGTTTTCTGATTTTAAAAAGAGAAACACATACTTTAGGTTCACTTTTATCAGACTCATTCATTCATGTCCAGTCATTGAATTATTGAAATTTAAAGCTTGTATCCTAATGCTGGCTCTTCATAAAACAACCATCTGTCAAGCCAAAAAAGGTTGAGAAAAATATAATAATCATATTTCTAAAGGAACATTACATTTGTAAATAAAATCCTATGTTTCTTATGTTTTTAAAAATATTTTTATGTGAAACGGTTTTCAAATAAATCTTTTCTCCAAAAAAAGAAGAAAACCAGAAACGTTTTCTGTGCCTTTAAAAAAACCCTTTAAATTAGTTTATTTTGGAAGAAAATATAAAAAACTCATCCCTGGAGATGGAAAAAGAAATGCGTGTACAACACAATTAATTTCAGTAGCTTTTAATCAGGTTCTCTTGGGAGCTGTTAGGTAGTTGAGGAAAATAAAATTTCATGTGAGAATTTGCTGGAAGAAAAGGGAAAGACTGACAAAATACTGATAGTTTGCTGAGTATGTTTATCAAATTATCCTTCCAGGAAGTATTTTAATTGAAGAGAGACTTATTTTGACACTGTAACAATTTTCAATGAGTCAATATAAATTACAAAGTTAAAATGCAATTGTGCCCTAAAAGAAACTCCCGCTGGAGGGACTGTAGGAGAAATAATGATGGAAAAACACTTCTACAGAAAGAACTGAAGTTCTTTTGGAAAACTATGCATTTTTGTTGAGATAATTAGCAAAGTTTTACAAATTCTTCAAGTAAATACATGGTATTTAAGGATTTAGAGAGGCTATTTGAAAGGTGTGAGCAGAAATTGTGGGTTTCGTGGTTTAGTTTGAAATATGGTATTGGCACAGTAGACTTCTGAAGTTGGAGTGACTTTACAGGCAGCAGTGATTGCTGTGCTTCTGGTTGATGCTTGGGGTGAAGAACAGTGAACAGACTCAGTAGAGAACAACCTGAAAGGCCTGGGAAGGAGAGTTTGAGGAAAACTTTCTGTGGTGTCAAAAAGACTCAGAAAAACCATCTCATGTACCATGGAGGTGTAAAAGACACATATAGGCCCAATCTAAGAGCACTTGTAAAGTCCTGGTGTTACCCTAAATTTGTGCATCTGGCACATTTGTGGGCTCCATGAAAGCAGGAGGTGAAAGTTATGGCAGAATTGTAGCTCTATGGCTTATGTAATGTTTAGTATTGAGAGTCAACTTGGTTGGCAGGAAAGACACCCAGGAGATTTAGAAAGGTTGCTTCTGTTGTGTCTGGATGGGCCATGTGGGCAAGACCTTTGGATCTGTATGAAGTTCCTAATCTTTCCTCTTTGGCTCTTCCCCTTGTCTCTGATCTATGGACCCCTTGAGTGGAACAGATTTCCTTGTCCATGAATTTCCATCAGGAGGCTTCTGCCGTGGAGCCAGCCAACCAAGGACTGAAACCTCTCACTATGAACCACATTAAACCTCTCTTCCTCTAACTTGCGAATGGCAAGTACCTTTTCTAAGTATTGGGAAAGCTGATTAATATATTGCATCAAAGGAGTGCTGTACTTCTGAACTGTGCTGCAAAACCAGGAGAATTCTGTTAAGCTTCACTTTCATGGCTTCAAATATTTGAAAAAAAATCTCTCTCTGCAGGGTTCAACTTGAACTCTATGACCTTCTGCTGTGTTGAACTCTGCAAGGTTTTAATGCATTCTAGGTGCTCTTCCCTTGAAGACAGCCCAGGCTCCAATGGTAGGTGGTGATCCCTCCAATTTACCAACTGCAGTGGTCTGGTGTGCCTTTATTACAGAGATTTTCTTTACTTTTCCAGTCAGCTGTAATTTTTATCAAGGAGCCTCAAAGAGGTGCTTTTTTTGTTGTTCACTTCAACGTTTTCTTCTGGAGCTCAGACTAATGGATAAAGAAACCAGGAGAGTGATGATTAAATGAAAAGTATCTGAAACATGAAAAATTTATTTATAAAGAATCAAATCTAACTTTGAATGTCAAAAGTACAACAGCTGACATGTGAAGCTTTCACAGTTGGCTTCAGCAACTGATTTTTCCAATTACAGAAAATGACGGTCTCTGTCAGGTCACTGGTTGACTACTGATATATCAAATAATTACTCATGTGGTCACTTAGGACCTGGAATCCAATCTTAGGAAAAATTTATTAATGACATTACTAAGTAGATGTACAGCCTCAGTTTTCACCAAGCAAAACCAGCAAAACCTGTTGATGGGGAAAGAATAAACTTTCTTGAGTAACTTTATTATAATATATAAAAAGCCTGCTCTCTGGAAATAGTGACAGGTCTTACAAAGAAATGAGAAACTATGGCCTATTCACTGGTGGTTCAGGGAGAGTGGAGAAAATGGAAGAAAGGAATCCAGAGGAACTGACCCTGAAAAATGCAGACACTGGCCATTGTACCAGTCTTGAGGATAGGACAATTGAAGTTGTATAGAGAAGAGACAGAAAAAAGAACCAAGAAAAACTAACAGAGACTACAGGGCTTGCAGGTTACCATCATGGGGATCAAAATATGCACTATGGGAAGTACAGAAAAACACATAAGGATAAATATGAACTTTCTAAGGTATAATGTTTCACATTTCCAATTTTCAGGGAAGACTTCACTGTATACATCCAAGAAGCTTAATGATCTCTATTTAGGATGAACTCAAAGAAATCTACAATGAGACAGATTAAAATAAAATGTTCAAAGCCATGTAATTTCTGGTACCATGTAACAAGAGTGTTTTGCATTGAGTGCTTTTCCTAACAATGACTATCAAGATTTGTTCTGATCTTCACGTATTTCCACTTACTGAGTATTAGAATCATTGTCTTCTGATAAGTTAGATTTGGTAAGAATTTAAATTTTACCTTAATTTCTCATGATATCTTTCACTCAATGGCAAGATGACATCAGCTGAGGACATCCTGGTTCTTTGAGAAGAGATTTCTAATAAAAAATGAGATTTCACATGGGGGAAGGAAATTTTCCATATTAGCCTGCTTTCTTTTCCCCCCTAGTATTGTAAGAATGCTTTGCCCACCTAACCATCCTCAACAACATAAGATCCTTATCATCATAAGATCCTCATCTACATATGATTACCACCAACCTCTGAGTCACCTAATACACCCACTTATTAT